TGTATATATATATATATATATATATATATATATATGTATATATATGTATGTATGTATCTATATGTATGTATGTATGTATGAAAATATGTTTTATTTTTTAAAAATTAAAATAGTGATATTTTTAGGTGATATTAAATATTTGTATGGTATAAATGTTAAAAAAAAGTAAATTTTAGGCTTTATAAAAATAAATACATAAGAATAGGGTGATATGCTTGTAAATTCCATTACTTTTGTATGATATTTATTTGTTATTTTCAAAATCTTAATTTTTCTATTTAGTTATATAATATTCTAATTTTTAAATAAATGTGTGTGTGTGTGTGTGTAGAGGAGTGTCGCTCCCCGCGATTCTTTGGTAGTACAGCCTAGCATAAGTCCTTTGAGGTCACAGATTCGATCCCGCCTAACGGTCTGTTTAGGGCAGCTTATAACTGCAGACAAAGTTTTGAAAACACAGTCATTCTGTTTGGTTTGCGCGTTTTTCTAGCTTCTCGCAAAATCATGTTTCTATTTAGTTAAAGATGCGGCCCGCGGGATGATCCCCGCAGAGTTGTTCGTTCGCTCCTTAATTACTCGAATGCCCTTGAATTAGCTATCACGCTCCTCCCTCCTTCTTCGGCCCCAGCCGCTCCTCTACCCTAGTCGCTCCTTCCTCCTTCGGCCCAATCAAGAACTTTTATCCCCCATTTGGCCTAATTCTTCTCTCCACGGTAAGCATTTTTCTTTTTCTTTTTTTTTTCCTTTTGCTGTCCTTTTCGACAAGGGTCGTTCAACAGGCAGCTGTCGAGGTTGCTCCCTCATTTCAATATCAGCAGAAATTCATGCTTGTGTTGTCTCGGTATCCAGCGGAATATATGATTCCCCCATTGAGTGATCAGTGATCTGAAATCTGTTATCGGTGGACTTATATTCCTCCAGAGTGCTATAACGCTCTAGGTGGAGGAAGTTACAGTTTGGGCATTCAAAAAACACCTCTGTTACTAGTATCTGTGTGGGAATCTCGGCGAACCCGCACAAAGTTCATATGAAATTGTCGGTAACGCCAGCTCTGTAGGAAACTCGGACTCATCCTCTATGGCAGGCAAGCTGGAGGAAGTCTCTCTCATGCAAGGTTCATAGATTTTCCCCTCAGGAATTGGGGTAAGTAAATTTTCCGCCTTCTTCTGACGTCTTCTTTCTTCACGTAGGAATGCTCTGTGTTTTCAACGATTGACATTTCTTCGTTGTGTCCTTTGTAACGGTGCATATGGCAGTCTCTCGTCATCGGTAGTTACTAGACCTCTGGTCGATGTAGTTATCATATATGGAAGACGACTAGTCCCCTCTATCGAATCTTGTTGCTTTATCACTTTGTTCCCCTTCAGTGAGGAATCCTCCTTGGTGTCGATCTTTAACAGCGATGGTAACCCCTCTTTTTCTCCACGGCTGACCACATCCATCAGGGGACCCTCATGGTCTACGTCGACTTGACCAAAGTCCGCGTCGAAGTTTATGATGCCACCCTACGGTGCCCATTCCTTGTTAAGTGCAATCATCCTTGAAAGCAAAAATCAGCTTTTGTTCTGACATTTTTTCTGCAGACGATAGGAAAAACATCAGCGCGCTGAAATTTAGCAGGAACAAGAACAAAACAAAGTGTTTATTAAGAAAAATTTTAGTATATATCGGTGAGAAGATCGTTTATTTATATATACATTTTTTGTTTAATTTAGTAGAATATCAAACTTAAAAGTAGGAAAGAGAAAATTGAAGTATGTAACTTCAAAAGTTTTCATTTTATTGAGGTTAATTTTATTACAAAATTTTTTGGACCCGACCACAGAGGTTTGGCCAAATAAATAGCCCAAGATCAATCAAAATTTCAAAATTTCAATTCAAGCAATGTCAAGTTGCATAGTATGTCTTCAAGTATCGTTCGTTGATCGGCAAAATGGGTCTCTCACCTTGAAAATCCATCAGCTGGTAGGCTCCTCTTGCGTAGACCATTTCTACTACAAATGGTCCCTCCCAAGTTTTCTCAAATTTTCCACCTATCTTGCGGCGTGCAAGAATAGGCTTTTTAACACGAGAACGAGATCACCAACTCCTTGGGCAGACCAATTTGTCATGAGCTTGTACCATCCTTGCTTGGTAAAGCTCCAAATGTTGTTGTGCTTCTAGTCGCTTTCCTTCGAGACTTTCCAATTCTTCGGGTTTGAATTTTGTACTTTCTTCTGTTGTAAGTTGATCGGCGACAGCAACTTTGAGAGACGGGGTCTGAACTTCTAGTGGCAGTGCGACCTCAGACACGTACACAAGTTTGCAGGGTGCACATTGAGTGGGAGCCCTGAAGGTTGTTCGGTAGGTCCATAAGGCTTCTAATAGTATGTTATGTCAATCTCTTTTTTTTTCGTCCAGTGTCTTCTTCAAAATCTGTACCAGTGTCTTGAAGGCCTCAGCCAAGCCATTTGCCCTGGGATATTAGATTGTAGAGTATCTTTAGTCTATCTCGTGCTGCTTGATGAAATTATTGATTTTTGTTCTCTTGAAGGCTGTCCCATTATCGGAAATTATTCTGTACGGAACTCCAAAACGGTAGACGAATTGGCTTTTAAAAAATTGAAGGATGTGTTGTGTTGTAACCTCACGTAACGGCACTGCCTCTACCCATTTGGAAAAGTAATCCGTAGCGGCAAGTATAAACCTGTGTCCTTTATAGGATGGAGAGTCTATCAGACCTATTATGTCGCTGCCCCAACACTCGAATGACCACGAGACAACGATTGGGTGTAACATATTCGGAGGTTGGTGCAAGACCACCCCATGCACTTGACACTGGTGACATCTTCTGGCTGTATCCATGCAATCGGACATCATTGTCGACCAATAATATCTGAGCTCTTGATCATTATCTTTATTTTTTGCCCTGACTGGTGATCCCGATGTGAAATATAATATAGTTGTGTAAAATATATAAAGTTGACTGCGCTATGCAACGGTGCCAAAAGCATGATGCAATTTTTTATAAATAAAAAATTAAAACAATTAATGTTGTGATTCTACGCAAGTATACGTATCATTATCAAGTAATAAAGGACTTTCTATTTAAGCCCCAAATATCGACCCCATGAGAAAGGTTTAAATTTGAAATGATAAATTAACTAGGAATTTCACATAAATCAAATGGAATTACTCTCACTAATTGTGAATGTGTAAGATGTAACAAAACTAAATTATTTAACTTTTAGCAAAACTGAAATGCAAAGTTTAAATTGTAACTACTAAACTAATAAACATTGTTTATGTGATGAAGATTTCTTATGTGAAAAAGCATCTATCCCACTACAATGAGATTTTGTGTAAAATGAGATGAGATAAATAGTTTTAAAATGTATTGTGCCAAATAGGAGAAGTTTTAATTCTCTACCCTGATACAGTCTTATAGAAAATCATTGGCTAATCCCAGGTTTAGTCCTTAAATCCGTGGCTAGGCTAGGAGGATACTGGCTCCCACTCCAGAGCTCCCACTTCCCTTCACAAATTTCATATATAAAAGAAAATTCATACAACAATAATAAATAAACAACACTTATCTTAAACTCTTTCTAAAAGCAAATCTCTTGTAGTCTTTCCTAAGAAATGTAGGAAGAAGAAATCTCGCACTCTTCTCCTTCTCCAACACTCTTAAAGAAAGATTCACGCTTGATCTCAACATAAAAACTCTGAATTCTTAAAGAAAAATCACTAATAGACTCCAAAACGGTGGTGGAATGAGGATGGAAAAGTGTATGGTATGTAAGAGAATGAATGGTGGTGAGGAATGGCGAAAAGGAGCGCATTTTCTGATCAATTTCGGCTCCAAATAGAGCTTAGAGTCGGTTCTCGAATAGGTGCATCCAAAAACTCTTGAAAAAACATCCAAATTTATCGAATCTTCTAAAAACAGGGTCTGAACCGACACTGGTGCAAGTGGCCTGTAATTTAATTCCCTCTTCTCTGTCAAATTGCACCGTCGGCGCCCAGTCTGGCACCGTCGGCACTGAACAAATTTTTAACTTCTCCATTTTTTCTCCAAATTTCATCCTTTTTGCTTCTTTTTTTCTCAAAGTCCTAAAATTTAACAACCTGCAAGAAAACATTAAAAATACCTTCCATTAAAGTGCAATATCACCAAAAGTGAGTATAAAATATGGGTCTAAAAATGAATATATTTTTAGTGTATCAAAATCCCCCAAACTTACATGTTACTTGTCCTCAAGTAACTCTTTTACTGCTAAAAATATGACTTATGGTAAAGAATTTAACTTCTAGATTTTCATATTTTAGTCCACTAAATACAATAACATAACGTAAGTAAAATTCAAAACAGCTCCACTTAATACCAAAGGTAAAAGAATATTCAGCAATCAAGTCTAAGATTTCTAATTCTCTATTTTTTTCAAGAAAAAATTGCAAATTGTCATATTAAAGTCACTTAGAGTATTCATATGAAAAAAACTTCATGAAACTTTACTATTAAATAAGTTAATACTCAAATATAAGTTTAGAAAATGTAGCGAAGCCTTCTTCTTTAAGTTGATTCAAGTGAAGCCTATTCTTAATTAGGCATTTCCTCAAGCTTCTTCCCATATTATCTTTTTCTTTTATTTTCTTTTCAGGATCCTTTTCAATCCTTTTTCTTTTCATTTCTTTTTTTCTCTCTCTTTTTTTTTTATATTTTATATGTGAGGATTACTATATCTGAATAGCCTTTAATGGTTTTGAACTTCAAGATCCTCTTAATAAAATTAAAAACTTTTCACAATC